AGAGGCCCTGCTGCTCCCCCACCCCGATGCCAATCAGGGCTTAGGGCAGTGGTCCCCAACCTTTTAGGGCTGCCAGGCCGGGTGGGATTGGTGCCGCGCATGCGCCACATGCCCAGGGTGCAAGAATGGCTCGGGCTGGCCCTAGTCACTAGGCAGGCGCACATAAATGCCCTAGCAGGCGCCATGGCACCTACGGGTACAGCACTGGGAACCACTGGCCTAGGGGTTGACTAAGTGTTGCATGCCTGAGGGCAGGGAGTGAGAAACTTCCTGTGCTCCCCCTGCCCCCAGGCCAAATCAGGGCTTGAGGGTGACATGGGGGGAGCACGGAAAGTCTCCTCCCACTCTGCAGGGAGTGTGTGGCGCTTAGAAGTTCTGCAAATTCCTTGAAGGAAGGGGGCAGGGTGAGAGGAGATTTTGTGTGTTTCCCCTGCCCCTAGGCTCTGATTGGCCTGAGGAGCGTGCAAAGTCTCCTCTTGTCCTATAAGGGGCGTGGTGTTTCCAAGTGGTGCACACTCCTTGCAGAATGTGGGCAGGGCAGGAGGAGACTTTGCATGCTCCCCTCACCCCTAAGCCCTGATTGGCTGGGGGGAGTATGTGAATTCTCCTCCCACCCCCAGGGGCATGGGTATCTAGAGGGAACTGCCAGTTGCTCTGAACAGCTGGCAGTTCTCTCAGGGCAGAGGGAGGGTGGGGGGAAAGACTACAAGTGCTCTCCTACCCCCTAGACCAATCACGGTCTGTGAGCAGGCAAGCATGGAAGTGTCCTGGCCCTGCCCCTTCCTCCTGAGGTCCCGCCCCTTCCAGGGGTGGCCCGGGGCCACTTCAGAAATTTCTGAAGTGGCACCTAGTTAAAAATTATTGCCCATCCCGGCTTTATTCAGTGGTTACCTTTGAACACCTGCCACAAATATAGAAGTTATTTAGGTCTCTGCAATATTACTTCTAGGAAATAACCTGAATATTTCAAATACTGAGGCAAAATAACTAGTTATTTAAGACAGCTGAGCAAGTTTTTAAGGGTGAACACTGTATAGAAAAACTATAGATTTTTCACATTGGATAAATCATCAACTACTTTCTGCATGCAATGTTGGCATGCTGCATTACAATTTGGGGTGGAAAAAGTTCTACATCCAGTGTAAAGGAAGAATTATTCCATTCAGTAAGCAGGATTTTGCTGTTGGTTCCTGCTCCTGCCAGTTGTGCAAGGAGTAGTTCTACTGCATGAATGGCATCTGCAAAAGTGCACCCTGCTAGAGTCCGCAATGGCATGTGGTGTGGCGAGCCAAACATGTTTGCCATGTTGTAGGGGTCAGATAGAGGTGATGCTGGGTGAAGTTGGCATGTGGCATGAGGAAGATGCTGAGCCACCGCCAAATAACCTTATATCTGGATGTCTAGGGGCCCTCATGTAGCCAGTGATCTGGGAACTGCTGAAACCTGGCAGCTGCACTACAAACAGAAAGGCCCCGAACACAGGCAGCCCTTGCTGGAGAAAAGGCGCTTCTGAAGACTGACCAGCGCACAGCCAAAGACCCAAGATGGAATCACCCCGCTTGCAGTGTTGGTACCAACTTTCCATGGCAAGGGCCTGTTTCCTTCTGCATGGGTGAATCCCACCCAAAGATGGGTAGAGCCCTCCAAATCCATGGATATTCGTGATTCATTTTGTGGTACAGCTGTGGATGCGGACACAAATGTTGTGTCTGTGCATGGCTCTAAAGATGGGCTTTAGTTTGTGTGCCACTTCATGGGATAGTCAGCATCCTTCTACAGAACTCCATGCACTTTGCAGCACCCTAAGAACCACAGAGTGGCAGAATTTAATCCACAGAGCACAGAAGGGAAATCTAGTGGCATGAGAACAGTTCTGGGAGTCAGGGACACTTGGGCCCTGTTCAGATGCTTATTCCTTTTGTGATATTAGAGAAATATTTAACTGCATTGCCTCAGTGTTTCCATTTGTAAAGTGGAGGGTTATACTCCTTACTACTTTCTGGAGGATATGGGAGGATTTGTCCATATGCTTTGGTAACTGCAATCTGAGAAAGACTGATTCTTTTCTCCAGGGAATAGCAACTGTGTTGGAACAACTTCTGGATTGGGGGTGAGCAGAAGAGTCTATTGAGTGTAATAATTTATTCAGATGGGAAAGCTGACAGCTCTCACCACCTGCTAGCTGGTGACAGGTACGTTTTAAAAATATTTTTGACATCTTTGCTTTCCTAACAAAGAAGTTATTTAAAATATCAAGACACTCCCTTGGAAAGCTTTAAATAGTTAGAAGGGTTCAGAAACGGCTTGGCACTATCTTATATCCTAACATTAAAGGGCTTTGTTTAAATGGTTACATTAGTAAATCTGCATTTAACAGTTACGTGGAGAAGAATGCCTTTGTCTTCCACAGAAGGCATAGTCTCATGGGCATGAGCTTTTCAGGCAGCAATACTTGGGCTTTGTTCCTGGCTCTACCTCTGACTCACATGTTCATGGACAAATCAAACCTCTTCATAAATAAGTACAGAGCTACCCGCCACACAAGGGAACTGTGACAGTTAATTATTCATTAAGTGTTGTCACCTTTGGCCACTCCCCACCCGATGAAGGGGCAGGTCAGACCAAAGTTTCATCTAGCCCAGGATCTTGTGTTTCAGTATTGGTGAATGCCAGATGCCCCAGATGGAATGAACAGAACAGACAATCATTGAGTGATCCATCCCCTGTTGGCTATTCCCATCCATCCCCCTGTTGACAATCCTGTATCATAAGATCATCTAACAATGAAGCTGAGAGAGATCATGGGCATTTTGAGGTCTGAACTTTCTCAAAAATCTTTCACCAACTGCAAAATTAGAACAGTGAGTGGAAGAGAAAGAAATTCAGCCACTTCAGATTAAGATACAAATGGCTCTGCTTATGGATCTTTGGAAGTGTGTTTAACTCATATGGCAATTTAAAGCAAACATAAACCAGTACATGACTGACAGACTCTCAGTAACATCGCATGACAAACTAGGTACCTATTACAGCAAGAAATTTAACATGCTATAGAGCTTAAAGCTCCAGCAGCTTGAATCTATTTCTCATGAAAGAGCAAAATTACAGTGAATTCCTAATCATTAGGAGCCTGATCAGAGAATCCATGTTGTGCATGTAGATTGCCTACTGAAATCAAAATAAGTTCTTGGCATTATGACGGGGAATTTAAATGCTGTATTTGTAATGGCCATTATACAACAAGAGCTTCTTTAACAATTTTAGAGCATGTCTTGTGATTAGTGACCTCAAATGTCAAAGGAGCAGCTAATAAGGAGCACATGGCATGGATATCACAATTAAGAGAGAAGTGGGAAAACGAAAGTATTTGGGTAGATATCAATAAACAAGGTTAATTAAAACTGAAGGGGGAATGAAAACAAGTTTTATTTTATACTCAAATACTCATTTTCATTCCATTTACTTTTGGGTAGAAAAGTAACAATTATGCTCAAGTTTAGATATGGTGCAGTTGACAGGAAAAAACTATTAATTGTAGTTAAAGCTTCAGTAGGCCAGGTCTGTTCCCCACTGTATGCTGCAGACAAAATGACACAAAAGTGGAAAACTACAGGTCCAGGGGAAAAAAACTGGATTGGGAAGGGTGCACACAGCTGCCCCATTACCACTAGCTTTGGTCTTATTTTTATGAATGCCAAGTGCTACCACAAAATAGAAATATATTGTTGTATTTAAAAATCAACCAACCCTCTCTTGCTATGATCAGGATGAATATGAAACTATACTATTTAGTTAATCTATACCCAACTCATCTGGTCACACAAACTGAAAGAGAGTGATGGATTTGAAATGTGATGAATTACAATTTAAATTTCTAAATAAGGCTGCTAATGCTAATTTGGCTAGTTTATAAGGAAGAAAAAAAACCCACTGACAATATTACATTAAAATATCAATACAACATTCAACCTGAGTAAGTAGCTGACCATATCCCTGAACTATGACCAGAAGAGATGGATAAAAAACAATTTGCACTGAACTACTGTATACATACCAACTAATGGAGGTCAAAATGCCGATCTACTGAAATGTAACATTTATTTTCTAAGCAAGAATTATAATCCAGGTCCTTAATACATTAATATTTAAGGCACTGCTGTATTTCATATTAGAAAATACTTAACTACCAATCCCTTTTCCTACCAAATCCCCCATCACAGCAAGTCTGTTGTGTATTGAACTAGATATGACATCTAACCTGGCTCCCTACACAGAAGTCCAAATTCATCCTAATAATCAGCATAGGTCTACTTGAGAGTAGCACTAGGATCGCATTTACTGTAGAGGGCAGTTAGTGCTAAGATTTTGTTTTTTTCTAAACTCCTACTCACCAGACCCTTCTGCAGGTCAAAGCAGTACAAGTTCAGACTGGTCATAGTCAGTCAGACAGCTGCCTGCCTGCGGTTAACTTGTTTATTCCTCCTCTCCCACCGCTGGAGTATTAAGAGAGATTACTTTTGGAAAAAGCCCTACTGTGAAGAAAGATGGTGCCTGATGATGTGCTCTTGCAGAGTGGGAAAAAAGAGTAGCTACCACTGGCTTCCCTTAGAAAACTGAAAGGCAACCACTTGGAGTGGGTTCCTTTCAAAAAAGGATTTGTTGCAGCTTGGGGAAATCCTCATCAGTGGGTTTCACTGATTTCATGGAACAAGTCATGGTGTCTGCCAAGTAAGGATGGAAGCCAAACCTGTATGGTTCATAGTGCAGTCCCAGAGAATGATGGAAGGGAGAGGATTTGAGAACAACTCAAAAGTTCCACCCTTCTCTTTACTACAAATCGTGATTTGTAGGCTCAAAACTTTAAAGAGAGTCTAAAAATACCTAGCAAAAGAAAGGGATAAATAAATGTGAAAAAATAACTTATCTTAAAAGCATAATCAGCTAACTGTGTTTAGGAGACTTGTTTTATCACTTGTAACTGACTAATAAATATTACTTACCAGGTCTATATTTTGCATTATGTCCTGGAAGGAGGGGTGAGTTCGAAACTGTTCAAACAGATCCCGCTTGTAAAGCAGCGCATACACCAAATTAGGATTGTGGTGGAGAGAATTGCTCAAGCAGGAATTGATAATCTCTAACATCATTCTGATCACTTCTTCAATCACATTCAGGTCTTGTGCCTTTAAGAAACAAGCAAAAGGTTAACATGCCATTTTCCACCATTAGGCAGAAATGATGATAGTACTCAGGTATGATTACTAATGCAGTTTGCTGCCTGATGTCTCAACAGTAGTGACAAGTCTTGCATTCTTTTTGGTCTGGTAACATAACAATGCTTTCTTCTTCTGTACATCCAAACTTTTACCTTAAAGTTCAGTGGACGATAGTGTCCAGTTTGCAGAATGCTCCCACTTCAAAGAGCTATAAGCACAGTAACTGTAGTGAGTGAAAGTCACTGATGTTCTGTGGTTTAAGTCAATTTTCACTCCTAGCAGGTGCTACAGGTAAATGCAGCTCAGTACAGATGCACTGCATTTTATTTTCTGTTCAGCACTCAGTGCAGAAAACAAAAAGGAGAGAGTAAACAGAGAGCCAGAAAAAAGTCAACAAGAAAAAATAAAGTAGGTAAACAATCTAGACTAAACTTTTCTATTGCAAATTATTTTGGCACTGGGGAACATTCTAGGCCAGTGTTTCTCAACTTTTTTTTTTATAAAGTACCCCTTTTAAAAAAAATTGTAAGTACCCCCAGTACCTATAGTTTTCAGACACAACATTTTTTTTCTACCATTGCAACACATTTGTTAACTTAATCATAGCTGAGCAAGTGATGAAATTTTTGGGTGTAAAAACTACAAAAGTAATAAAACACTATAAAACTAACAACAAAATTCAGTTTTCTCCAAATTTTAGTTGTGTTGACATACCCCCCCAGACTTCTCTCTAGTACCCCTCAAGTGTTTCATACCACTGGTTAAGAAACACTGTTCTAGGCTACTGAAGTTGGATCACAGATGATCTGTGGAAAAAGTCCTCTACTGGTAGTGCACTAAGCCACCATATTTTAGATCAATTGCACTAAATGTATTTGACAACCAGCCCAGACAATGATTACCCATAATTCAGCCTTCCATTCTGAACAAGATCATAGAGAAACTAGCAAAATTCCATCTCCAACATCACCTGACAGTATTCTGAACCCATCCCAGTGGGCCATCACACCAGGATATGTCACACAGACAGCGTTTACACTGAAGAACAGACTTCTCTTGGCTGTGGGCAATGGGTAAAACTCTCTGCTCATACTGTTCAACCTCTCACCAGCACTGACACTGTTAATCAGGACTCTTTAGAGATGTTGTAAGGGTGAGCAAAATCACACCATGATGGCTTCCAGTCTTTCCTGTTGTCCTGGACACAGGATTAGGAATAAATAGCTCATGAGCCTATTGCCTTCTACATTTCAGAAAAAGACATGATCTATCTATAGCACTTCCCTATTTCATAATAGAACTCTGCTTACAGTATGGGGAGAAAAAGAATCATTCCAGTGAATTGTACTGGACTTTCCATCTACAAACAATAAAGTTTCTTTCCAGTATAAAGCAATAGCACTTTTAAAAATCCCTTCAGATTGCATCAATTACCACATATCAGTTTAACAATGCCTTCTTTGCCAAGGAGGAGGAGGAGAAGAAAAGTAGCCACTATTCCAAATAGAGGAAGATAAAGGGAGAAAAGGAAT